TATATATGTCATGGGTTTCATTGCTTTCACTTATTATTAAAAAATAATATCCCATCTTAATTCTAAGATTCTAACAAGAAATAGGTGGTTCAAATTGTAATAATTCAGGAATATCCAGGAAGAACTAGTTACAAAGATGTGCAGGATTAGGGGAACAATAGCAATGCATGGTGAGGTGCCCTAAGGAAAGCAGAAATGAAGCACTGTTTCCACACCTAGAGTAAAAGGGACACAGGAAGGAGCAGCTACTAGGGATGGGGCATAGCCATAGCTGTAGCTGTACTACTAAAGGATGACCAGGCAGGTGAAGAAGCAGTGCCACTACCAGCACACTGCCTAGCAGGAGAGAGTTAGAAGATCTCAAACTCAAATCCCTCCCTCCCATTCTCTATTGTCTTGATTGTATCACCAGGTAGGTCAGTTCAACCAGAAACAATAAGGAAAAAAAATGATATTGATGGTGTTTGATAGAGTTCCACCAGCTTGGAACTCTATCAAGACAGAGATGAAGGATGGAATAAAAACTGTCAGGACACATAACATTATCCCTCACCACTACTTGTATCTTCCTACAATCTGGAGATTTCTCAATATGATATCATTGAATCCATTCCCATTTTATCTCCATTGAAATAATTTTTCCTATTTACATGTTAATTCTCTTGAATCAATTTTGGAACAATCACCGATATTAATAAAAAAATGCCTTGAAAGTTGAATGCCATTTTAAAAGGGAAAAGCTTCTTTCTTGTTTGGAGTGAAAGTGTGGCTCAAAATGAACCACTACTCACCTTCACAGGATATGTGCTAGATCTTTGCTGTAAGCTCCAGACCATCAGACTCAAGAAATTCTTTGATAGTGCTGCTGTGCAACCCTGGGAGGGTGCCATCATCTGTGGTCCTAAAGGACTTACACCCATATCAGAATGGATGCCTATGAGAAAATAAAAAAGGAAATGCAGGCTGTGCTCCTTCTATTAATCCTATAAACCAGGAATTAATTATATCCCCCTCCTCGCTGCCTTTGGTCAGGGTTTAGTCATGTGGTGATATCAGCATTAAGAGAGAAAGGTAAATGGAATATCGAGACCTACAACCCAAAGAATCACTGTTACAGAAGATAAAA